GAGAGAGAGAGAGAGAGAGAGAGAGAGAGAGAGAGAGAGAGAGAGAGAGAGAGAATGGACCGAAGAGAGGACCGGATAGCATAGGGAGAAGAGATATGAGAGGGGGAGAGAGAGATGGGAGAGAGTAAAGCGATTTAATACAATGTAGGACAGGCTGTCAGTCAAATTGACAGGCGGTGGTAACCCGTTTCCAGTCAATTAGATGTGATGCCATTACACGCCTTAACGCCTAATGCCTTAACAGCCAGAATATAGTTAAACAGTAGTTTTGAGTCACAGTAATGAATTGCATGGTTGCGTTTGGCAAACAAAATACATACTAATTCTGAGCTAAAGATTTAAATCAATACTCAAATTAGATCTAAGAGACTGTTTGTGGTGTAACCATATCTCTGCCTAATTTTAATTTTATGTAACCAGAAATACAGACATTTATTGACACAATGCTTATAACACCAGTCATTGCATTCATAAAATGCAAACAAATATTTTTAATGTCAAATTCAATTATAACGCTTTGAATAAACTTAATTAAGACAAACGAATGACATATTCCTCATAAATATCCGCAATTAAGGCCTTTAAATATTGGGAAACAGTGTTTGAATTGTTGGCTTCAAATGCTATATAAAGCCGTCCGCAACCAAAATGATGTATCGCTAGAGGTGTAGGGATTTAACACATACTTCAACTCAACAGAGTATATATTGAGCACAACATTGTATATAAAAGTTATGCATCACATCAACACTATATCACTATCTCTTTATATCTTATATACTGAACACTTGATCGCGAGTTAAGTTAGATATTTATATATAGGATGAGGAAGAATGAGAAGTGTTAGTCTGTATTACATTATGTGCTACATCTCTATTCTCTGCAGTCTTTTCACAACTGTTTTCATTAAATAACATATCATTTGAGGTTTTCATCCTATTCTTCATTTAATTAACTTTTTATTTTATACGTTTAATCATTTGGTGTTTTGTTCTTTTGGTTTAAATTATAAACAATTATAAAAATTGAGAAAAATTTTTGTAAATAAATTGGCAATAATTGTAAAAATATTGTAAAATAAATAAAAATGTCACACAATTTTAATACAAGTGTATCGGAAGTAGTCGGTAGCGAACAATAACAGTCTGTCTGTATATTGTAGTTAAGTTAGGGTTTGGAAAATAAGTCTCAATCTATTTATTTCACTCTAATGTCAACATTTGAACCACTGATCAACTGAGCCTCAACTCAGGGCTCAGTCTCAGCCTCACTGTTATATCCACACAAAACTAACCCATAATTCGATTAGTAGTACTCTTGTAACCAAAGCCCTCACATATGCTCTGCCATAACGTGTCATATCTATCGTGAAAAGTGTGACATTAAATAACTTCAACAGAAAATACAATTTCAAATATAAAATGATAAAAAGAAAGCATAAAAATACAAAAAAGAGACTTTTTTGACAAAAAGGAAATTCGAGAACAAATAAAATAACTTTTGAGGCAAAAGTGAAAGAGAAAAATTGTGTTTGAATTCGTGAAACAAATATCAATAGAGTTGTGAATAAATGGAAAACTAAAGAAAAAGACCGGTAAAAGAGAGGCTAATAAGAAGTGACCGAAAGTTTTAAATAAAGTGTGAAAACAAGAACTAAAACAAGTGCTGACAACAAACAAGCGATTGATCGGAAGCTAATTTGATATTCTTGTATTGCGAGTAAATCCCTGTTCAGTTTAGTTCGCTTTATTGGATGCAGATTTATAACTCCATTCTCTCTCTCTCTCTCTCTCGTGTATTTACTCTCATTTGTCTCTCATTATAACATAAGATTTAACTTTTATTATAGTATTCAATATCTAATATATTGTTATCTAAAATATAAGACCAATTGTCGATACAATTAGCAATATATTTGGGTTATTGAATAGCAATCAATGTCTTTATCGTGTATTTTGTTGTTTTTGTTGGAAAGCAATCATACAATCGATTATTCATTTGCACTAAAAGTGATTTATAAAGTAATTGATTAAAAAATATAAGCATTTATTTTTAATTTATACGTTAATGTACTCCTAAACGGAGAGTTAATTTTGTTACGCAATTTATATTTATAATTTTGTAATTAATTTTATTGGAAATTATTTATATTTTTTTAATATAAAAGAAGTACTCATTAAAATTTATTATAAATATTAATTAGTAAATACTTTGATAAATATTTGAATACATGGTCGTTAAGGGTAAGATTTATTGTCAATTTCTAATCATATAATGTTAGAAAAAAGCAACAAAAAAGAGTTTTAATTTATTTTAATCTAAAAGCATATCTATAATCATGTCACTAATTAGCTCTCTCTCTCTCTCTCTCTCTATCTCTCTCTCTCTCTAACAT